CAGAAAGGGTGTTAGCTCAGAGGAACAAGAAAGACAAGGGTGGAACTCAAGCAAAGCACAATCTTTTCTCTGTGTCTATAGTTTTCTTCAGTAAATGCCCCTTTTCTCCCCTCCCCTACACCCCTTCCCCCAACAGACTAACTGGAATGATGCTGCTCTCCAAGCTGCCAGGCTGCATTCCTGGCGACATGCATACTGCGGCTGCATGTGTGCACACAGCATTTATCAATGATGATATCAGCCAAAAAAAGCTGATTGCAGATAATGCTAATTTTCCTGTTATCAGTGCCTATCTTATATGTGACTGATATATCTGTGCAACTCTAAAAACTGATGTAGAATATACTAGGCTAGGGATTGTAACCTGTGGCCCATGGGCAGGCTGGATCTGGCCTGTACAAGTCTCCTGCAGCAGGAGTGTTCACGGGGTGGGGGGAGAGAGTCACATCCCAGTATCCCCAAATCCTCCCCACAGCCTCAAATCCTGCTCCTCCCCCTAGGAGACACTGCTGCTGAGGAGACCAACATTGGCATGGCCAGAACCCCAGGAGTCAATCTATCCCCCACACTGCAGCCACGGCCTTTCTTGCCCTTGGATTTACCTTCGCTGATTGTCAGTGGCAACAGAATTCAGCAGTGACTGCAGTAGCAGGGAGTCAGAAGGTCCCTATACCCAGCAGTTGCTACCTGGGCTGCTGGCTGTACTGACACCTCCCGTGCAGCAGCAGCATTTCTCGTGATGTGGGGAAAGGGGGGTGAGGATGACAAGGGAACCAGAGCTACTAGGATGTGACCCCCATGCTGTCTATATCAGAAGTGTGGTGAAGGGGTGGGAAGAATCAAGTGACAGGAGGGAGTCAGCAGCCTGCAGTGACGATTGGCAAGGTGGCCAATTCCTGCACCAGTATACAAGTATATACATCCATGTGCATAAGTAAGAGCTTTCTTTTGGTAACATCTTTTATCGCACTAACTGTATAATTGGGAAATATGTTAGACACAAACTTGTCTGAACTCTTGTGTAATCTCTCTCCCAACTACATAGATGGTCCAATAAAAGATAGTATCAAAAACCCCTTGTTTCTCACATATTCCCTTGACCATCACAGCTATCCCACCATTCCAATGCTACTATATACACCATAAAACTAACTTTCTAATTCAATTTACAATACAAAGAACTGTAGGGGATCTGACCTTTCCAGAAAAGATTAGATAGCAACTTTAAACAATTATATCTGCACAACCTACACTTAGATATTCCTATACTTAGAGCCAATGTAAACATTATATTTAATGCAAGTATTGCTAGGTACATCAAGAGACTGAACAACTTCCACATGAAATGTCTAAGATCCTGAAAATAAAGTGGGAAGACGGAATACCAAACTTTTACATGTGCTATGAGGGTGGAGGGGCGGTACTTTAATTTGCAGCATGTTGGAGCAGACTCTGTGCTCACGTACAGGCACCCAGAGGTACTGGAGCATGCAAGACTAACACTTAGACATCACTATCAAGAAGAGGAAGTTGCAATGGATTGGCCATGTCAGGAGAATGGGAGGAGACTATATCCCCAAGAATATTTTGTACAGTGAGAATCACAATGGCTCTAAAAAGCAGGGTCACCCTCTACGGTGGTACCACAATGTATGTAAAATGGTAAGTCATTTAATGTCAACATAGAAAGTGAGGAGGAACACAGAGAATCCCATCTGATCTGGTGGGAAGATTAGGCACTGGGTGCAGTTCAACATGAAGCAGCTTTGATCCAGAGGATAGAAGCAATCAAGAAAGAAGAAAGCAGCATGCTGCAAACTTGGACTCCAACTCAGACAATACATGGATCTGTGAAACTTGTAACAACTTGTGCCACTTTCAAATTGGGCTTGTCAGCCTCAAATGGATTCATCATGCATCTGACTAGACCTCTTACATGTACACCATGATCCAGAGATTCACAGTTGCCTACTACTGTTCCAAATATACCCCACCTTATCCTTATTTTAAAAGATCAGACTACAAAGTACGCTAAATAAAATGCCAAAAGGAAAATACACTAAGAAAAAACCTAAAGATCTAAAATTATCTGCCAAGTAATGTACGTCTCAAAGCCATGAACTGCAGTGGTATTTTCAAAAAAAAGGACAAGTTCCTGGTACTTAACTCCATTCTCATTAGACAGCCATCCTCATTTTGTTTATGGGTTTATTTACAAGCTTTGAATTTCACATTTAAACACTTACCATATTAGCTTTATAGTTTAAGGAAACAAACAAGAAACTAGTTCTAAATATTTTTTTTATTAAAGGTTAACTTTAAGTAAACATAGCTGTTTAACAAAGAGATTTCCCTGCAGACAGTACAATTATGAAAAATATAACAGCCAAACCATGTGGGTCCTGTAAAGTGTCCTCCTTTTTTGCAGAAACTGAGCCTGTCGCAAATTATAAACTCTTCCCTGTCTCTGTAAATTACAGCTGTCTCTTCTGCCTGGTTTCAACCTAAACAGCTTCTGAGTTCAGGAATGGCCAAGGACCTTTTTAACAAACAACAGTTGGTACTATATGGAAGCTCTGCTTTTTATGTCCTATGCATCTTACAAACATTAAGACTGACTGTGCAATGTTTGCACACCCAAAGCTGCCAGTGATTCCAGTGAACGTACACAAGAAATGGGTCAATTAAGTATATTTCCATCCAGTTATGATCAGTGCTTTTAACATAAGAGGACCAAAAGGGAAAAAAAGGTGCAAGAAATAAAACTATACATACATATAATACTTACATATGTATAATACAAATAAAAGGTACAATGGCTAGCCTTCCTTTTCCTCTGCCAGAGGACTGTTTTTATGTTTTTAGTGCAAACTTTTGTCTCCTTTTTTTGGATACCACTAACCAAGGCTTTATATCTGCTGCTTTCTCTTCCAGGTATGCTGAACAGCAATCTGTAATATATGCTTTCCACAGACAAATCTAAGATTTTGAAAAGGGTGTGTCAAGGATTGCTACAGATCCCCTGACTCCCAGCGCCCCACCACCACCACTTTGTTTTACACTATAGCTGCCACCAGCTTGAGCTGCTCCACCCATGATCCTCAGGCTGGAGTTCTAGTTCCCCATGGCCCCCAATGCCTGGGTCCCTGTGGGTCTGGGCAGGAGGAACTGAGCTCAGACCACAAGAGTGATGACACAGCTGGAGCACCCAAGCCAGCTGGAGATACCTTGGTGGGGCTGAGCAGAGAGCAGGTACAGGAAGGGGGGACCCACCTGCTGCCTTCACTGTCCCTAGCTGACCAGAGGTGGTGAGAGCCCAGGGGTGGTAGGGCCACTCCTGCCCCACTCTAGCCAGGGGCTACAGGGAGTGGTTGTGTGGGTTACTGAGCTTGGTCAGGAACTGTGGTAGCGGCAAGCTAACCTTCCCTTCCTACATCCGCTCCCTGTCCAGCCCCGCCAGATGACCCCTGCCAACCTGGGGAGCTCCAGCCTCAGGCCCATCATCCCCATAGTCTGAGCTCAGTCTCTGCTGTCTGGAGTATGCAGGGGACCTAGGTGTCTCATAGGCCACAGGGAACTGCAAGTGCTGCCATGTCTGCCAGAGAACTCACCAGATCCACCCCTGACTTTCTGGATTTCCATATCCCTCTCCTTTTCACCCTTTCAACAAAACCAAAAAACCCCCCAAGGAACATCCTTACAAACAAAAAGCACTGTAGGTATTATCACAGAAACTAACATCTTATTGCTTCATTTTATGCTTCATGTACAACAACATTTTGATTTCCAGGTTCAGCACTGAAATCATTCTATGAAGCAGCAGCACTCTACCACTGTGTCATTATTCACATGACTGGTATCAAAACTTCTATTCAGCTGGTGAAAGTCGTGAATATTCAGCATATCTGAAGAAAATAATTATGATATCTGAGAGATTAATAAGAGGAACAGAAGAAAATGTTAAATAAAACTACTGAATTTCAATGGTAGTTGGTTAACTTTTAAAATCTGTCCTCAAATCCTTAGAGGTGACTTCCAGCTAAAAGCCTAGAAACCAGTGGGGGCTATGAGAGAATATAGACTCCTGCCCCCTCTTGAAATAAAAAAAGTTAAGTTCACCCTATGCTTCTAGCTACCATATAGAAGATATCAGCACATGTCTACTGAAGAGGGGTCCTTCATTACCTTACTTAGTGGAAACATAAACCATTTACTCATTTTCTCTCTCTTCATGTTCAATACTGATCACCACAGCAGAACCATCGTTGCTTAGTGCTACTTTGCCAGTAATCAGCTTGCTTAAGTTCTCAAAGGTGCCACAAAGTTTATTCACTTTGGGGATAGAAAAGAATTTTATGAGAGGTATGTAGACTGCATTTCCACTGACGTATGTCTCCATGTTTCTGTCATCAGCAAGTTTTTCAGCTTCAGCTAGAGAGGGATTCCTTGAATGCCTCATGAAACAGTGAGGTAGTTGGAAGTCGGGTTTCATCTCGACAGGACCGTTTCTATGCTCCTTATATTCAGACTTGAAACTGTCCAAGAGTCGTCTTGTAATAATCTGTGCTGTATTAATAACTTCACTGACTACTACATTCTGCAGGTACTTCTCATCTTTAAGACTTGGATACACTGCTTTGAAAATCTTTAGGAAAAGTAAAAAATCCAAAAGATTAAATATTAAAACATGTTCAGAAAATGTTATAAACAACATGCGTCTAAAAACAGTGTATTTGTACTCAGTTTTTTATTTTGATATCCAAAAATATTATATTTAATAACTGTTATGACAATTGTATAATGATGTTATAATTTTATTGTACAAAAGATTTAAATAACATGTTGATCCAAACTCCACTTATACAACTGTACAGCAGACTTCACTAGACTTTTATACTGTAACAAGTAGGAGAATTACTTTAGTTATCAACAGAACTGCAAAATCATAGATTTCATAGACATTCGGGCTGGAAGGGACCTCGGAAGATCATCGAGTCCAGGCCCCTGCCCAAGGGGCAGGAAGTCAGCTGGTGTCATAGGATCCCAAAAAGATAAGCATCCCAATTTCTCTTGAAGGCGTTCAATGTGGGTGATTGAACCACTTCCAATGGCAGGCTGTTCCAAACCTTGGAGGCTCGGACGGTAAAGAAATTCTTCCTTATGTCCAGCCTGAAACGGTCTCGCTGGAGTTTATAACCGTTTGACCTTGTCATCCCTTGGGGCGCTCTGGTAAACAAACGTTCCCCAGATCCTGGTGAACACCCCTGATAAACTTATAGGTGGCCATCAGCTCACCCCTGAGCCTGCACTTTTCCAAGCTAAAGAGCCCCATAGCTCTCAGCCTGTCGTCATAAGGTCTGTTTTCCTGACCTCTGATCACGTGCGTGGCTCTTCTCTGGACTCTCTCAAGCTTCTCCACATCCTTTTTGAATTGAGGAGCCCAAAACTGGATGCAGTACTCCAGCTGTGGCCTCACCAAGGCCAAGTACAATGGCCTTGGTAAAGCTGTACAAAAATCAGACTTACACCTAACAAGTTACGGTTAACGACTAGATCAGACATGACTCTTCTAATTTTTTTCTGATGTATCGGATGTTTTCCATACTGCTGACAACCATGAGGTTCTGATGACACTAGGTCACATTTCTATACTGCCCTGCCCTCTTCCATTACCTTTCTAGACTTATAACTATACCAAAGTTATTTTTTAGGGTTAAAATGTCTTTATAAAGCCCTTTAAAATATTAAACTAATTTCCAAGAAATCATTCAGTATTTAAAGAAGTGGTTTGAGTCTTAAAACTGTGACAGCAAAATGTATTTCTCTGTGTCACAAGGTTAGTCACAATATTTGATATTAGAAACACAACCATGGGTTTGTTTCCTTTTCAATGTAAAATTATATATTATTAACTGGAGTTATGTCCATGTAGCAGTACTAAACTAGATTATGATATATATGTACACCTTCTACCTTACAAAACTGTCCCTGTATTTATTTATTCATTACTCTATGAAGTGAAGTGAAAAGGCAGGTAAAGAGTGGGAGATACTTACAGTTCTATAAGGGTTTTCTGTGGATTTCTCCAAATTAATAGTTTCACCAGTATTTGGATATTTTCTCCTAAATACAGCAATTTGAGTACAAAATCCAACATCCTCAGTTCCAGGTGGTGGGGCTCCCAAGCCAGTAAATTCCACTGTATAATCATAGCAACTGGCTGCATCTAGTGCCCTACGAAAAATAATTTTATCAAAATATATTGGTCAGCATTTCATTCTGCTAAAATGTGAATCTTCCTGAAAGGAACCAGACTATAATCCTGCAACCTCTCGGGCATGTATGCAACTTCCAGCATAATAACTTCACTGAGATTTCGAACCTCTTTGAAGCTGAGCTCATGTGTGAGCATTTACAGAATCAGGGCCTTACTCTTTAGTACTGTAGAAATGAGAACCAACTTCTATCAATGCATTTTTATATAAACCAAAAGCTTCTTTAATTTTCTGCAAGTATTTCCTACAAAACATACATACTCCTTATCTTCCCTAGATAATGCATCTCTCTCAGAACAGACACCATTAAAAATGAACTGTGTATGGAAATCATTAGCTTTCTGCACTTTATATCAAGCTTTCAGAATAACATCAGAATAAATGATGTTGAGAAATCATTTAAAAGATAACAATAGCCACATAAGAACATATGCTTGAATCTTGATGTTTGCAGGCTCTTTACACCTAGAAAGAGAATGAAATCTAGCAGCTTGTGTCTGTAACAATGTACAGTGATATCACATCAAGGTGAAAAAAGACCCATCCATTCCACTGCACTAATGAGTGTTAAACAGCCAAAGGGAACAAGGAAGAAACTTACTGGAGACAAGACACCCAATGCTGGAATTCTCAACCACAAGAGATCAAGCTGGGCACATCCAGACAAGCACACATATACAGCATGTGGTGCTGCAGAGCCATCTGCGGCACTGCACACATGCAGGCATTCTCTGTGCTGCTAACTTGCAGTGCCGGGGTTGGGGGAGGGAGAGGAGGCTTAACAGTGGGAGATTCCACCATCAAAAAACCTGTGCTAGAATAAAGTGGGGTGGCACACATGGCAGCAGTGGGCGCCACCCAAAACCAGAGCCTGGCTGGCTGGAGCCTCACTCCAGCTGCCAGCCAGGGTCCCCGCTGCTAGATTGCCACTGCTGAAGCCCCAGGAGGTCCCCAGGACATCAGGTGCACGTCCCCTACCCCACCCGGGGCAACTTGTCATGTGCCAGAGCAAATGTGCACAAGCATTCCCTGGGGCAAGTAGCAGCAGCACAACTACGTGCTGCTGCTGTTTGTCCTCAGAGAAATGCATGTGCGCGCTCGTCTGGACGTATACACTGAGTTCATGACTGACTTCTTTTGAAACACGCTGTAAGACTCACAACCAAATGTGTGAATGCTTCTATGCTTCTTACACTAAAGCAACAAACAGATACAGACATATAAAAGTGCTGGAGTACAGCCAACAAGCATCAGAAAATTCAAAGCCAGGACTGATGGTCCATTTTCAATTCCTGGAATGGTTATTTAAAGTAAATAGAAGTTATTCTAGAAAAGTGCCCCCACCACCATCTCGGGCATTATTTATTGTTCCTCAGCAATGAGACTGCAAGAGTGTGTCAGCACCAGAGAGAAAGTGCCATTTCTTTCTTTGCCATTCTTTTCTCTCCACTTTTTATGTGTTTGTCTTGTTTGCCATCAAAAGACTGGACTCCAGACCATCCTAACTAATATCTCATTTTCTCAAGGAAAATGATTAACACAGTCTTTGAAACATCAAACTGTTTTTTTCTTTACAAAAAATGTCCACAGTGAAAGGGAAAGGATCATTTTTTACTGATATTCCTAAAGACAGAGGGTGACAATAACAGTGCAGAAGGTAGGTTACTTACTGCTTGCTTATAAATATTACACACCTTTCAAGCTCCCAAACAGTACTGTGCACTTTTACAACTTGTCAGAGCAGCAAGGCCAAACAAAATCATGTCAACATAACCTGTTGGAAGGTTATGTTAATAAAATGAGAAAAAGAGATGAGGACTAAGAGAAAGGAAAAAAGAAGGGAACAATGGAGCAGTCTCCTTTGAGCAGTCTCAACAACTTTTTTCAAATGTATCTTGAAACAGGATCCAAATATTTTCAATACAAAATAATAAATTTCTACCTTGATAAGTGGCTAACTTGGAAAGGTCTGAAAATGACTGTTTTATTCTAGAAATGAACCTACTCTTCCATTTTTGTAAAATCATGCATTTGGTGTTCACAGCAGACCTTAAGAATTAAAGTCTTTGTGGCAGGGCTAAACCTGCCTTAACAGGAAAGTATCCTGTGATATTATTTACAGCAGTAGCTTACCTGTTGAAGTCAAACATTATTTTAACTCTTGTGTTAACCTCTTTCCACAGCTGCCTGCTTGCATCAGGGTCCTTTTATATTATGGCAACAACAAATGCCAGAGTAGGATAAGGTCTTTATCTTGTGCAAACTCTACCAAGTCCTCCATAGTAATAACATCTCTTGCTGTACCAAATGTAGTCCAACATCAACAGAGATGCTCTTAATATTATGCTATATGCTATCCCATTGGGATTATTTTTAATATTGTGATACATTTCTTTCCATGCTTTCAAAAAGAATTCCAGACTAATGGAAGTTTTCATTAACAAGGATGAAAGGACAGGAGCCTAGAGGGCTCATGGGAGTTTATGATATATTTCTATGCAGGATATTGTTAACATTAAGGCTTTGTTAAAACTTTACATTTTAAATGCTTTAACTGTTTCCCCTTCTTTTTGTTTCTTCAATAAAAGAGTTGAAAAGATTCAAGAAGTACTTATGACAATGGGAAAAAGCCAACTATGACAAGACATAAAATTTCAGAGCACACTTAACTTTATGTTGCAGCAATGAAGATTGGTTTCATTAACATCTTGTTGCTTACTGGGCCTGAGTATAGTACCCTTTCACAGTCCCCTTACCCCCTCCACACAAACCAAATTGTAAATTTAAATCTGTACCATGGCTTTTCATATTATTCATAGTTAGCTAACTTACCAACTTTGAAATTGTGCTTGGTTCCATTCAAATTTGTGGTCTGGATGCCTGAATAGTGTTACCCCTGGTAGTAAAGGGTTAAATTCTGAGTTCGGAGTGCTGATAACAACCATGGCTGGAGCCATAAAACCAAATACCACTTCTGGAAACTTTTCCAGTTCTGTTGCTTCCAGGTGCTCTATTCTGCAAAGGGTAAGATTGCAAAAGTCCATGAAATCCTATAGAGTCTTTTAACTTTATTTACAGTCAATTCAACAAAATATATGACAAGAGGAGAACAACTTGAGTAGATATAAATTGTTTGTCTATGGAGAGTCTTTCGTATTTTTATAGTCTCCTTCCCCTTTCACAAATCTTTATTATTTCACATCCTCCCCATTAATAATGTTTCTTACTATGCTTAATTTAAATACAACCCAGGTCAGTGGTGCAGTAATGCAGTGCTATTCTGCTGTTTGAATTGCTGAAGTGTAAACAGAGAGGATTGAACAGGGCTACTCAGATTAAGGATTTTAAACTCTTGTGACCTCAAGTAATCTTGCAACATGTCAAATACATGCAAAAGAAAGAGTAAAACACAAAATGCTACTTTATTTACAAATATTTATCTTTATAATGTGTCTTGATTAATGAAAACTTGAGTATATCAGCTTGGTACTCACAATTCAATGCATGTTATCAAGTCAAAACCAAGCATGCAGGGGTCCTTCTGAGCGACTGAGCCATGATGCAAGGTAACAATTAGTGTCCTTTCACTAGGTTGCAGATAATCACCAGGAAGTGGAGATAATCTATGCCTAGAAAAGCATCAAAGCATCACAAATTAAAATGACATAAGGACTTCTTTGGGACAAAGCCATTTTGCCTGTACATGTCCTTAATAATGACTACCAATGAGATAAAGTACCTTCAACTCTGGTTGATTTCAACAGTAGAGGATGTTCAACCCTCAAGCAAAAATATGCAAGACGTTAATAATTGTTTTAGAGATTAAGAAAACCTAAGAAGACTGAATCTTCACAAAAACACCACAGTAAAACTTTTACTGAGGATAAGTGCCACTAGCAGACAATCAGTATCCAGTACAGTTCTGCTTTATCTTTATTTAATGGTGACATCTATTAGGAATTTTTTTTCTTAATTTCATGCTTAAAATGGGTATTAATATGGTCTCTTGCAAAGAAAAACAGTAATATGCATATCTTAAGTGTGTCAGCAGCGAGCCACATAAATGTAAAAAAAAAACTCTTGCAATTAAAAAAAAAAAAGCTTGCAATTAAAGACAATTTTGCAAAAATCTTGTTGGTCTAATAAAAGATATCATCTCTACTACAAGTCCTGACGGCCTTTTCCTCTAGACCAATATGGCTACAACCTGGATACCTGACACATGGAAGATACTGAATTTTAGCCAATTTTTTAAATGAAATCTTCATATTTTCCCAAGCAGGAAGCAACTGTGACCACCTGAGACCTGAGATCCTGCTCCTGCCTTTGTTTCCAGGTAATTTTTATCATCACAGATGATGTGATGAGGAGGTGAGAGGCTTCATACCAGCTATGAACTGACTGCCCAGAGGAGTTTTCCACCTATTGACTCCTCTGTGAAATCCTATGAAATATGAACTTTCATTTCTACCCACGATAACTTTTACAAACTTTTCTCCAATGCCCAATGAAGGGTGTTTGTGACTGACAGCTTGCAATTAAAGAAATGTTTCTGCAAAAATCTTGGTGGTCTAATAAAAGATATATTCTCTACAAGTCTGGATTGCCTTTTGCTTTAGATCAATACGGCTACAACCTGGATACCTAAAAGAAACTCTAGCATTTTGAAAGGTAATTTAATTAAAATCACTGAAACAAATAATGGTGCTCAGGCATCCAATTAACAACCAGGCAGTCTCCGCCTGTACTTACAAATATCATGGAACAAAGAGTAAAATCATAATTAAAAAAAAAAAATCAGGCCAGAAGATTTATTTTGGAGGTTTAAATGCAAATCTTATTCACCCTGTTTTCTTTTGAAGTTATGAAGATTTCCCAGACATTTTTCCTTATTAGCCCATTACTTTAGTACTTTAAAAAGATGAAAATATAACCATAACATCCTATGTTACAAGCACTCAATCCCTGGCCTGCAGGGGTCTGCACTTCTGAAAATTTGGCAGCAAGAGAATGGTGGCAGCAAGTCTGCTCCCCTACTGACAAATTTCTTGACCTGTGAGGAGCCCCATGGGCTGGATAGCATGCTAGATCAGCATGCAGAGGGAGCCCAGGGACTGATGCGGGCACACGGGCTGGCTGGAGGTGGTGTGGGGCCCGATCCTGCCATGTGGGCAGAAGCAGAGGCAGGGTGGGCCCCAGGGAAGTGCCACAGCCAAAGGAGGTAGCACAGGGCCCCAGCTTGGGGGCATGGAGCCAAGGGAGGAGCACAGGGCTCCTATCCAGCAGCGCAGGTTCCAGGGACTTGGCAGGGTCCCCAAATTGACAGCATAAAAGCTATGCAGCTGGAAGCTGCAGCCACACTGCTTCTCCCAGCACCCCCATTCCCCAACTGCAATGCAAGTGCAACTTTCAATGGGAAGAAAGCTGCACTAGGGCTGGCTTTGGTGGGGAGGGTAGAGAAAAGAGGACACGGAGAAATAGAAGCATTATGAAAGCAGCTTCCAGTTCCCTGGTCCTGGCGAATTTTCCTCCAACTGGGAACTAAACCTAGGCCTCCACTTCTTCTCCCAGCCCTCTGTTCTCCAGCTGAAGTGCAAATGCAGCTTCCAGCCACACAGGAGCTGGACCAGGGCCAGAGAGCGGGAAGCTGCTTCTATGATGTGATTCTGATTCGGCTGAATTGAATTGGGACAGTGATTCAAATCTCCAAATCGAATCACTGTCCCTCCGAATTGTCCGAATCTGAACCCAAAGTGAATACTTGCCGCTTCGCACAAGCCTAGTAAAGAGAAGTAGCAGTGGTGCAGGCTCAGCTTGCAGCTCCCCAGCCCTAGTACAGATGTTCACTGCCTGCAGCTCCACAGGCTGGTTTTATATGTTGGTGGCCCCTGACCTAAGCCAAACCTTGAAAAGACAACTGTATCATTAACCCCAACAATAAATAGAAAATACAGGAGTATTAGGCTCATACCAAACCTGTTCAAGTGTTGGGAAACGAAGCAGGCAAGAAAGCCAGCAAGTTCAGGTGTTTTTTGCTTTGTTTCCAATTCATATACTGTATTCAAAGTAATTTGCTTTCTTCTGTGAGAAGCATCTACACTCCTTGAGAACTGGAGTGGCAAAAAGGTGAACAAACCTTTGATTTTTTTCCCCTATATCAAAGGAAGTTTAACTTGGAAATAGGCAAAACCTTGTAGTCTGGAAATGGATGCATGTGGTATGCTACTGAACACGGTGTACCTGATACCTATTTTAACATCTTGGAATTTACAAAATTCTTCCTTCTTTTCTTAGGAAAATGACAAATGCCTGATGTCCAAAGTTATCTACCATAAAATAAGAAAACAGAAGAAGAGCAAGAGTTAGAGGCCTTCAAAGTTTCCAAAATCCTACTCTGCTATCAGTTTGGAAGAGAGGCTATGACACCAGCTAAATTCCAGCACAATAAATTCAGATGCTAAATTCCCTTGTATGTTTATATTAGCATTTATATCCTACATTTATCACTGAAGCAATGGCACTCTCAACTTCAAGACAAATTGTTTTGTGTTTGGGACAGAACTTTACCCGCAATTGGTCCATAAACTTGGGATTTAGTGCTGCAAGAGATCACAAAATTCAACATCTTCTGTACAGAAGGCAAAAACAAGGACTCTTCACATAACCTTCACACAGTAAGAGACAAAACCAAAAACAACGTCTAGCCCCTACTGATTGGAAAGAAAACAAACTATAGCTTGTGCAAATGTCAGTTTTGAAACTGGTTATGTAACCATGGCACTTCGTGCCAATAGAAGCATACAGTAGTTTTACCAAATCAGTACACCGTTTTCCTACATACCAGTAGTTTTACCAAATCACTGTACACTTCCCAGTAAACTCTGTCCTCACATAGTGATATTCAAAACCTTAGTTCATTTCTCCTTGTACTGGTTCTCGTGGCAAGTACTGCTGTCACATGCCATGAGGCTGAACCAAACCCTGAATCCTGAGTCTCGAGTAAGAAAAATTATGTAAAATGGAGCTTACATTTTCTCCTTCATCACGTTCTCACAGATATCTAGACCAGCTAGCACTTCAATACACTTGCAGAATTTCAGCATCCAGAGTAGCGAACAATCAGCACACCCCAGATCTGCTACCTGTAAATTAGATTGCAAAAGAGCAGCCATTTATTATTGTATATGAAGACATTTCTACAGCTGTCAGAAAAATATTCCACACAGATATTAACTATCACTTTTATGAAGAAGGAATTAAACACATTGATTTGTTATGTAACTTTACATTTTAGTTGCAAGTTACCAAAGAATACTCAGGACTGTAAAGGATTCTTTTACAGGGGACATTTAGGTCCCAATCCTCCAAACTGTTCTACATTGATGGGTTTATGCAGACATTAAGTCTCAAATGTACAAGGTCTACAACACATTAACAGCAGAAGATACTGATCCTGCAAAGACTTACCTACATATTTAACTTTATGCAGTAAGAATAGCCCAATAGATTTTGATGGAATTTCTTACAGTGCATAAAGTTAAGAACATGTTTCCCATCACCCAGATAGAGAGGTATCTATGTAAAATAATCTCAGTCCTATTTCTAAAGGGCAAGGGAATATCCACATCAAAAACCATAACTTAATAACAAGCACTATTCCCTCATAAAGATTTCATGACCATGCCAAATAAATACCAATCTTTGGTCTGTGCTTTCTTGCAGGTTTGCACTTAAACACATTGCTCAGCAGATGTGGGAAAGCCTAAACAGCCTGTTAAAAAATAGAGAACTTCAGTCTTTCCATAAATTAATTTAAAAGAAATTAGAATAAAATTTGCAATGTCAAAGAGCTTTAAACCTTTATAACTCCAGATGCAACAGAATTACTGAATGCATCATATTCAAAATCAGATTAAAATGGCATGATTTCATAGACTACTGCTTTATAAAACAGTAAATTAGCAATCAATAATGTGATTACATAAAAAGTCCATCTCTGGTACAGCCAATAAGAGCTCACACATTACAAGACACTGTTTCACAGAGTGAAACAGGGGACTTCAAAATTTATCCTGAACTCCCTATTTTTTCCCCATAAAGACCACCACCAGAAGAAAAATAATTACCTTGTTATTAGTTTTTATGTTTAATATATTTTTAAACATTAATTGCATAGCTTAGCATCTCAAATTTCCAGAAACAAGACAGGGCTTTGTATTTTCTATTACACCGAAACAACTGCAAACCCATTCCTTTCTGGTAAAGCATTTAGCAAATCTAATCCTCAATCCTATCATGAATGCCTCTGCCTAAAACAAGTGCTAAAAATACTGTATCAATGCTGTCTCACATTCTTAATGCCTTTTCTTTTGTGCAAGCTTGCTGTGTACATGAAAGTGATAAGTTAGCACGTATTTTACAATTTGTCTGTTAGTCTATAAGGAGCCATTCTGCCCTGTCTTGTGCCTACTTTTAACCTAGCAGGCCTAACTACCCCTCTTTACAGTTAGGACTGTAAATCAAAGACACTAAGAGCCTGAAGCAAGATAAGTAGAAACAAGCCCCAGCATAATAATTCAATTTTAAGACGTTCAGAAAGCCAGCCACTCTCTAGGAAAAGGTGACCGTTTATTTTATTTACACTCTGTAAGACCCAAAAGAATACCTTTAAATTCTAAATGCACTTTCCTAAATTGACATAAGTTTTACATGTTTGAGAAAAATCTCATTTGATCACCAAAAGAGTTTGCCAAAGTAATTTAATCCCGAGAGCATTACTGCTTGGCAATTAGGCATTTCTATCACTCCAAGACATTTTCTATCAAGTGCTTACTGTACTTTTAAAAACTGAGGCTGTGAAAAGAATGATATACCAACCTTCTTAGGTTTGTATTTGTTCACTAAATCTTTAATGAACTGGTACCGTTGCTTGTATAGCGGAGGCGTGAACTTAATGGTTCCTGTACATTCATCCTTGGCCAGGTTCACATCCACCATCCTGCCTATGCTGAAAGTTAAAAATTACGTTTCCTGAAACAGATTTGACAACAATTAATTCAGCCCCTCACTCCCCCTGAATTCAAAATCAACCAAATATAGATCTGACCCCACTTGCATGTAGTGTTCCCAAATGCAGGCCCTGTTTTTCTTTCCACTTAGGACTGAAGGACCTGAATCGCTTCAGCCTTCACAAGAGAAGGCTGAGAGGTGATCTTGTA